TGTTGACGACGAAGAACCAGAGTTACTCATCTCCTATGATTCGTTGCAGTCGGAATTCGGAATCCAATTTAACAAAATTTATCAAATCTGGGTTTAGGGTTCTAAGCTTGCTCGATTTGGGGATATATTCCCGTTAAGGCTGAGTCGACTCAGCGAGGATGAGTCGGGTCGGTAAAAAGAATTGGGTTTATCGTTTAGATGGATCGGGTTCTGGTTCGATTCGAAGTTTGGTTTAAAATTCGGTTTTGTCGGTGTGGTCTCGGGTTTTCGCAAAAACCAATCCAAATCAGATTGATGGGTATATAGAGATTTAAATTTCAATTGGTGGATATATAGGTGTGGAACTTTTATTTCATTGACATATAAATAGAAGTCATAGTTTGGGCATCATATAAGCAGATATGATACTTCTGCTGGAGAAATAGATCGCCAACCCTTTATTTTCAGATTAATTGTTAAGCTAAAAGGAGAATAAAAAGGCCCATTAAGAAGGCTTCCTAAGCACACGATTAGCACTAACACTCTTCTTCAACTCTCCTCTCTCTTCTTCCATATTCACTGGGAGAGGGCGATGGTCGATGCTTTTAGCTGGCGGTTTCTGTGGAGTACACACTAAACCCATACTCTCTTCTCTTCTCCGCATCGCTTCCATATCGCTCTAACTTGCCTTCTTACTTCCAGTTTTAGATTGAAGATCTCACTGTGTAAGTCTCTTTCGTATAATTTTGGTTGATTAACGTTTTAAATCGCCGTTGATTCATGCTATTTGTAGTAGGAACCATCAATATTGTCTCTTAATTTGATATTTATTCTCTTTGAACTTCCAATTAGGGTTTTTTCTTTTCTTTGAACGCCATGATTGTAATGTTAGAATTCAGTCCTTTTTCTCAGAGTATACATACGGTCAATGAGGTTCTTATTGAATGTTAGAATTCAGTCTTTTTCCGTAATTCTATTTTTAGCGTTAATTTCTGTTTTTTGTTTCCCCCTGCTTTAATTTAATTAATTATATAAAATATGAATCGAATTACTTCCATTGCAGACTGCAAATTCTTCAGTAACTCAAAATGCTGTTAATGGTGTAATTTCTAATAAGAACTTCTCTTTTGTCTGATTTTTGGTAGATGATGATAACTTGACAGGTTAATCCTACATTGAGAATTTGAGATCTATCTAGAGTTTTTGTATGTTTTAACTTGCTGTTTGATCATGGCTTATTCCTCACTAACATAATTGAAGGGTTCAGATTCCATTTTATTCTTCAATCTCCTATGATGATCTCACCAGTTATGCGTTTTCGTCGATGCATAATTCTAATGTGTTTTGCATGATATCTGCTTATGTTTTTGGTCTTTTCTTCATGTTGTTTTTTAATCATTGTTTCCATAGATTCCTACCTTGTAGATTTAGTTGTGTCGTTTCGTGGTCTGATTACTCAGACTTAGAAAGAATAATTTGTCAGCCGTTTTACTGATTTCTGAAGTTGGTTTATTTGTTGGAAGCTTCTTTTAGATTTTGAGGTGAAATGACTGTTTTTTTGTTATTTTACTTTTCAGGAGAATGGGGTCAGAGGGAAACAATAAGAACTCGGTTGTGACACAAGTAAGTATTGGTGGATTTTGGGAGTCCACTACTGCAAAAGAACTTACAGATTACCTTGAAGATGAAGTAGGGCTCATTTGGCGATGCAGATTAAAAACTTCTTGGACTCCTCCTGGGTCTTATCCTAATTTTGAGATCACGGACACTTCAAATATCCCCACGATTGATGATTACAAGAAAGTGGAGCCTCATGCGTTTGTCCATTTCGCAGTTCCTGAATCAGCAGCTCGTGCCATGGATGCTGCGGGGCAATGCAAGCTCATCCTGGATGGCCAGCCATTAAAAGTCAGCCTGGGGCCTAAGAACCCATATACCCTTAACCAAAGAAGAAGAACGACTACACCATATAAGTTGGCCGGTATTTCAATTGAGATTGGGACATTGGTTTCCCGGGATGAGTTTCTTGTTTCTTGGAGAGCTGAAGGGATCGATTTCCTGGTAGATCCTTTTGACAACACGTGCAGATTTTGCTTCACAAAGACCACTGCATTCGCTTTCAAGGACACAGTGATGCATGCGGTGATAAATTGTGATTTCAAGTTGGAGTTCTTGGTGAGAGACATACGAACAGTGAGGCAGTATAGAAAGTTGGATGGATTTGTTCTTCTTTTGCAGCTGGCTTCGTCACCCCGTGTCTGGTACAGAACTGCTGATGATGATATATACGAAACTGTCCCTGCCGATCTCTTGGATGATGATGACCCTTGGATCCGTACCACTGATTTTACCCAAACTGGGGCTATTGGTCGATGCCTTTCATACCGAGTTCTCATATCTCCGCGGTATGAGAAGAAATTGACAACAACCTTAGATTATCTAAGGATGCGAAGGGTGCAGGAGGAACGTGTGAGGTGGCCTCCCAGGATTCGTGACGAGCCCTGCTTTGGGGAGCCTGTGTCAGATCATTTCTTCTGTATTCATCACAAAGAAGGGATCTCCTTTGAGATAATGTTCCTAGTAAATTCGGTGTTGCACAGGGGGATTTTTAACCAATTTCAGTTGACTGAGCCTTTCTTTGATCTTCTTAGAAACCAGCCTAGGGATGTCAATATAGCTTCTCTCAAGCATCTTTGTACTTATAAACGACCAGTTTTTGATGCGTACAAGAGACTGAAGCTTGTTCAGGAATGGATTCAGAAAAATCCAAAGCTTTTAGGGGGTCATGAACAGTCTGATGATATCTCTGAGATCAGAAGGCTAGCGATTACCCCAACCAGAGCTTATTGCCTACCCCCAGAGGTTGAGCTCTCCAACAGGGTACTCAGGAAATACAGAGCTGTGTCTGAAAGATTTTTGCGTGTAACTTTCATGGATGAAGGCATGCAGACCATGAATTCAAATGTTCTCTCTTACTTTGTTGCTCCGATTGTGAAGGATCTGACATCAAGCTCTTTCTCTCAGAAAACCCATGTTTTTAAAAGAGTAAAGACCATATTAACAGATGGGTTTAAACTATGTGGTAGAAAATACAGTTTTCTAGCATTCTCGTCCAATCAACTGAGAGACCGCTCTGCATGGTTTTTTGCTGAAGACGGGAAAACAAGAGTGTCAGATATAAAGAAATGGATGGGGAAGTTCAAAGACAAGAATGTGGCAAAATGTGCTGCTAGGATGGGCCTGTGCTTCTCCTCCACATACGCCTCTGTAGATGTCATGCCTCACGAGGTTGATACTGAGCTTCCGGAAATTGAGAGAAATGGGTATGTTTTCTCTGATGGAATTGGTACAATTACACCTGACCTCGCTGTCGAAGTAATGGAGAAACTTAAGTTGGATCTGAATTGTACCCCCTGCGCTTATCAGATCCGTTACGCAGGTTTCAAAGGAGTTGTTGCTCGTTGGCCATCAAAAGGTGATGGAATCCGGTTAGCTCTTCGACCCAGTATGAACAAGTTCCATTCTAACCATACCATCTTAGAGATCTGTTCCTGGACCCGGTTTCAACCTGGTTTCTTAAACCGGCAGATAATTACCCTCCTTTCTGTACTAGGTGTACCAGATGAAATATTCTGGGATATGCAGGAAACTATGCTCTGTAAACTGAACCGCATCCTTGATGATATAGATGTGGCATTTGAAGTTCTCACAGCATCATGTGCTGAACAAGGAAATACTGCAGCTATCATGCTAAGTGCAGGTTTCAAACCAAAAACTGAGCCACATCTGCGAGGAATGTTGTCTTCAGTAAGAATTGCACAACTCTGGGGCCTCAGGGAAAAGTCTCGTATTTTTGTTACTTCAGGAAGGTGGCTAATGGGCTGCCTAGACGAAGCAGGGATCCTTGAACAGGGACAGTGCTTTATCCAAGTCTCAAAACCATCTATAGAAAATTGTTTCTCCAAACACGGGTCTCGTTTTAGGGAGACAAAAGCAGATCTGCAAGTAGTCAAAGGCTATGTAGCCATTGCTAAGAATCCTTGTCTTCACCCAGGGGATGTAAGGATTCTAGAAGCTGTTGATGTACCCCAGCTGCATCACATGTATGACTGCCTTATCTTCCCTCAGAAAGGTGATAGACCCCATCCAAACGAAGCTTCTGGCAGTGACCTTGACGGGGACCTGTACTTTGTGGCTTGGGATCAGAAACTCATCCCTCCCAGCAAAAAAAGCTGGGCCGCAATGCAATATGATGCAGCAGAAGAGAAGACTTTAGGCCGTCCTGTCAACCACCAGGTCAATATCTACTTCCCTACTTTTCTTTTCGATTAACTTAGATGTTGATGCTTAAGGTAAGGTTGAATTCCAGTATAACTCTGATGTTTCTGAAAGTGCAGATACTGTTTTCTGGATGCTTGTAGTGATTGTTTGTGATTGCTTCCTAGTTCATAGATTGCATGGTATAGGTTATTAACTGCATACATGTTCATCCTGCAGGAGCTAAGATGGTGACATATAAGAAAATTCCGTCATATATTATTCGTTCTGTTTTGACATTTTGACTCTTCAGCATGCCTCACTGTGACTTTTTAGTTATTTTTACTTCACTTGTGTAATAATATCATGATGCTAGCGTCTACCCACCTAGTTATGATTACTTTGTTTAGTTTCTTTTCTCTGCGCTTGCAAAACAAATTCTTGGGTAATTGATCGCTTTTGTTACAGGATATAATCGATTTCTTTGTAAGAAACATGGCGAACGAGCGTTTGGGTACAATCTGCAATGCACACGTGGTTCATGCTGATAGAAGTGAGTATGGAGCCATGGACGAAGAATGTTTGCTACTAGCAGAACTAGCTGCCACAGCAGTTGATTTCCCAAAGACAGGGAAAATCGTGACAATGCCGTTCCACCTGAAACCAAAACTCTACCCAGATTTCATGGGGAAAGAAGACTACCAAACTTACAAGTCGAAGAAAATCTTGGGTCGGCTTTACAGACGGGTAAAAGAAGTTTACGATGAAGATGCAGAAGCTTCCTCGGAAGTAAACTCAGACCCAAGTGAGGTCCCTTATGACACTGATCTTGAAATACCAGGATTTGAAGATTTCGTCCCTGAGGCATGGGGTCACAAATCTTCTTACGATGGGCAGCTCATTGGTCTTCTCGGGCAGTACAAAGTGCAGAAAGAGGAAGAGATTGTGACAGGTCACATCTGGTCCATGCCTAAATACACTAGTAAGAAACAGGGTGAGCTGAAAGAAAGACTGAAGCATTCTTATAATGCCCTGAAGAAAGAGTTCAGAAAAGTATTCGAGGAAACAACAAACCAGGATCACGAAAATCTCAGCGACGAGGAAAAGAACTTGTTGTATGAGAAAAAGGCTTCAGCTTGGTATCATGTCACTTACCACCCCAAGTGGGTAAAGAAGTCTTTAGAGCTGCAAGATCCAGATGAGTCGTCTAGTCATGCAGTGATGCTGAGCTTTGCTTGGATTGCAGCTGATTATCTTGCAAGAATCAAAATCAGGTCACGGGAAATGGGAAATATCGACTCGGCCAAGCCTGTTGATTCTTTGGCCAAGTATCTTTCTCAACGTCTCTAAAAAGTAATGTTTGAAGCCGTAAGGCCACTCTGCCATGTATCTCTGTAACTCAGAGATACTTCAATGTATGTATAGTTAGTTTGAATGTGCTCTGTTTTCTTCAGGAAACTTTGTTTGCCTGTGCTGTATAAAAAACTGCTTGCTGTTCACGATTTAAACAGCTCAACTGCTTGCCGTTGGTTTTGGTTATGTAATACAGTATATTCATGATAATCCTTTTAATAGTTTGCCACAATTTGCTTTCATAAAAAGACTAGTAGCTTTAATTTATTAAATTGTGACTAAAATGCGGTTAATTAATACTTATATTTGAGAAGTCGAAAATCCTACATAGCGGCTATATGGTGAGTTTAAGACTTGCTCTCCCAAAATTACTCTTAATAAATCTCGAATTTATATGTCCATGCCATCACAATATTTTTTTAATTAAAATATTTTTTATATGTCCACCAAATATTGAAACTGAGCCTATATGCTAAAAACGTGGTTTATAAATATTTGTTAGCAAAAAAAAAAAACCCTAGCTGCTGCACATACTTAAAACATGAAGACTTAAAATTATATATAGTTGCCTCTTTGTTTCGTTGTTAAACAATTTTTAAATCGTTTAAGATAATAAATTAACATGGCTCTCTTTACGTCAATGGTTATGAATCGAGCGATCTATGATTTATTAATCAATGGACAGATTGATTAGTCTTGTGTTATATCTTGCTAGATGCGTAAGTGTGACTTATCTCTATTTTATTATATGTTTATATTTAGGTTTTGGTATTAATTATATCCTCCGTTAGTTGTTTTAGATAATAAATCGATATGGTTGTTAACGTCAATTGTCAAGGATCGAACAATAGAGGATTTGTTATTCAATGGGCTATTCTTCACGTTTTGTTTGGGATTTGGAGATGAGCTCTTGGAGGTTATTTTACTCTAATTATTTTATAGTTTATGTATGTGTAACATTATATTTTTCTTATGTGGCAAACGTATAATCATCTTATCGAGGTCGAATTCTTATTTTTACAGATATATCATAGTAAAGTTTACGATTTATGTTAGTTTTCTTATTTTTATTTACATATTTTAATTGTTTCTATTTTTTACTATTTTGATAAGTTCTTTGTATATGTATCCTAATGTATTCTAATATAATATAAGTAATCATTGCTACTGATTTTTTGTTTTTTAAATTTGTAGCGTAACTTTCGTCCTAATGTTTTGTATTGCTTCCATATATATATTTTGTGATTCTTTTTATTAGGATTACATATTTTTTTAGAAGAGAAACAATATGAACTACTCAATGGATTTTGGACGTTGTGTAGATCAAAGAGCTTCTATTGCTATACAATTTGCAATAAGTTTAAATGGTTGCTAGACACACACCTTTTAAGGCCTATCTTCTAACAAGAGCTTCAACAAGAGATTCAACAAAAAACAGGAAGTTGGATAAGATCAAAGATTAAACTAGAAAACGAAGCAATTAGAAAAACTTGCAGAGGAGATGAGAGAGGGTAAAAATAATTTTTATTGCTCAGACTTTCCGGGTTTAGTTTGATGACATAATTTTTCACATAAACGAAAGTCTTTCGCAGTTGTTGAGATGTATAAGCTTGAGTAGAAAAGAGTTATGATGTGATCAAAGAGTTTGAAACTCCATGCTTCAACAATTTATAAATTTCTAATGTAACGTGCTTAGATTGATTAAAGAGCTTGATCGTGACTTCACTTCTTTCCTATGCCTCCTTTGTATATTGTTTGGGTTAACAAACAAAATTACTGAATCACATAAATGAAAAAAAAATAATGAGCTCACTGCNTTTATTTTTGCTAGCATATAGTTTGGTTTCTAGGTCTTTTGCAAAATTTGTTTGTTAATATTTCGAGTGATTTATGTGACAAATTAAGAAAATCAANTCTTATGTTGTACTAAGGTAAACGTAAGTTACGTATATTGTACTTTAATGACCACCAATTTTGAAACAAAAAAAAAAATAGTTAAAACCTTTTATCGCGCAAGGTGGTTTTGAAAAAATATTTTACATGCATTTGTGAGGGTTTAGACGCACATATTAGAGTTTAGTACTCCTAAATGTGTTAAAACTATAAATTATTTTAAATATTTTACATGCATTTGTGAGGGTTTAGGCTGATTTATTAGGGTTTAGCACCCATTTATTTATTAAAAATATAAAATTATAAATCAAATTTCTATTTCTAAATAGAAACTATATCAAAGTTTTAAAATTTATTATCTCCTCACAAGGCCTCCAATTGTGTGTTTCAACGCTCTGGTTTGCAGTTTCCTAAAGTTTTTCTCAAGGATGTTAAACTTAGGAATTCAAGCCATTTCTATAGAATAAGTCACCATTTTATTTTCCGTATTTTTAATCTTGCTACTCCTTATGTGATTGTAGTTTTTTATAAAGCTTACCGACAAGTATCGATGGNTAATTGATGCTCACGATAAGATTTTGGAAAAACAAACTAAGGTTGACATGAAGCAAAAAATGATTGAGATGAAAATAAAATGTGTCGAGGCACATTCTTCGTATTGGGAGCGAGCGACTTGGGTTCGATGGAAGGTTTGATGGAATAACCCCTATTCTGGATAACATTCGAGTTGTTTTTGGTAGTGATGATAACGATAAAAAAAACATTCCATAGATGATATGTCTATGATCATCTCAATAATTTATGTTTTGTTTTTAATAATATTCAGTATTGATTTTATAAATAATATTGATGCGGGTAAGTAACGAGGCACATGGGATGGGTTAATGATCGTGTTCGTTAATTAAAAAAAGTAATTAATTTTGTGATGAATGTAAATCTTTCGCATACAATTTAAAAATGTTGTTTTCTATTATTAGCATGTTTATAATGTAATAATTTTTGCTTCGCGTACAATTCGATTCTCCTACATGTTTAGAATGTTTAAGNTAATGCAGAAAATTTTAGCCCTTATTGTCACCTCAAATCTACTACTAATCGGTTGGAAGAGTGNNTTCTTATGCGGNCAAGTCACGAATACAACTAACGTAACCACCAGAATAACTATGGGCACTTTTCTCTCCACCACTCGCTAAACAAAGTTTAGTCTAATGTTTGCTATTTCTCACAAAACGGTCATGGCTGCTTGTGCTTTACTGTATCTGTTCAAAACCGTATGTACTTAAGTTTAATTGAGAAACTAATTAATTTTCTCAATTAAATTTTTACCAATAACTACATAAAAAAATGATCAAAGTTATTATACGTAAAATTTAATTTTATGATCTTTATATATTGGAAATAGATTTTAATGTGAATTTATTTGGCTAAAATATATAAATTCAAATGATTTTATTGGATTTTAAATATAAGAAAAGCTAACTCAACACTAAGTTCAATAGCATTCTGCCATTCTCGATATTTTAAAAAGAAAAACACAATCTCTTAGACTCTACGTTAGGTTCAGACATTTGGGTGTATATACATTTTTTTTTCATGATTGAAAGATATTGGACTCTAAAAAAACATGTTAGCTTATAGTCATCGAGTTCTTTCAATTTTATATAACCTAAACACAATTAGATAACCTCGAATGTTTGAGTTAGTTTAAATTATGTTAATTTGTTCCATAATGATGCTAGATCATGTATATTGAAACACAATACGTAAAAGATTGTATTTTAATGGCCAACCATTTTGAAATGAAAAATATTAATTAAAAATTTCCCGCGTAAAGAGATTTCGAAAAGAAACATCGATTAGTAATTTCGTCTAAGTCCACGATTTCTTAACATATCTTACTAAAGTCCTTTCACTAAACGGTTATCTGAAGATTTGCAGATTTTCCATGATAATTAGAGTACGTGTTTCTAATTGAACTCAATAATCATCCTTATGAAAACCTTCCTAGCGATATTACTTATACAAGGTTCAATGCATATTTAGGGAATCGTTATGGCTTTCTCACAAGAGTCGACACTTCTCTCATCCTCCAAAAGATGGAACTCCTACCCAGAGCTCTGTAACTATTCCTACGACATTCCAATATTTTATGCAAGACATAAGATATGAAATCTGATCCAAACAAGTAGCGCTAAAGAAGAGAAAGATGAGATGCTCCACCGAAAGAAGACAAAACATATTAGTTTTTTTTTTTTAAATATCTTACTGTTCAAATTCAAATATTTTATGTAGAGACAAAAAAAAAACAAATCAACTGGAAGTTCATCCATCAAGTTTTCCCATGAAATAATATAATGTGGATATCGTATGGTTTCTTTTAATGATTATGTGTGTGCTCAAGTTTTAGCCATTCATGTTATGGTTTAGAAACCTTAATAAAAAAATTGATGACTTAGGGTTATTTAAAAAGATTAAACTTTAGATGTTTGTATTAGGATTTAGGCTATGATGCTATAGTTTAGGGTGTAGGGTCTATTTGTATTGTTTTCGATGTTTACGTAAACTTGTGAGGGTTTAGGCTTCCATGTTAGGGTTTAGTATCCCTAAATTTTTAAATAAAAAATGATGATATAATATGAATGAATAATTTTAAACGTTTCTTTAAAAAAAACTAATAAAAAGTATAACTAAATAAAAAATATTGGTTATTAAAGATAATAGAAATGAGGAAACTAAAAAATGAGGATGATAATAATAGTGAAAAATGGATAAAAATAACATAAATAATGGAATTAGTTATTTTCAAACAAAAATAAATAAATATACAAAATAAATGTATTGTTTTGAATATTTTACGTACATTTGTGATAGTTTAAACTTACATATTAGGGTTTAGTACTCCTTAATTCTGTTAAAAATATAAATTGTTTTCAATAGTTTATATGCATTATTGAAGATTTACGCTCACATATTACCCTTTAATTTGTTAAAATTATAAATCAAATATTTGTTTCGAAATAATTAACTATATTAATGTTTTAAAATTTATTATCCCGCGCAGGGCGCTGGTACTGTCCTAGTATAGGAATATTAGATGTCGAAGATAAACAGCTCACATTGCACATAATATATTATGAAATATCAATATTGTTATATATTAAATAAAAAAAGTTGACAAAAAACAACAACATTGTATCT